TTTTTTTTAAACACCGAACTTCAAACTCATTTATGCCACATTGTTCATTCTTGAAGCAAACTTATGTCCGTTTGGTGATTAAATAAACAGTTTTAGACCGCTGCTGGAATTGAAAGTGACGCGTCTGGTGTGTGACTTCTCTGAGAACGCATCGCGGGGCTCTACAGTGCGACCATTTCAGTCGCATTTTTGCGACTGAAAACTACTGCGTGCGACTATGAAAACATATTTAGGAGCACCAGTGCGACTGACCAGATCATCATCATACTTGTGATTGTGATCGCTCAGGGGAGCTTCAAAGGTTTCTACGTGTTTTTGCAGCGTTGAGTAATGTATCACAGACATATCTCATGAATCTAGATGTTTAGGCTTATGAAAATGATTTATGAACGATGTTTTATATAAAATATATATTTTATGAAACATGTTGAACTCTATACCTGCTAGAAAATCAAAGCCATAAATCTAAACAAGTTGTATTCCAAATTTGAGGTTGATATCTCAAAAAATGAGCTTTCAGTACGATTTTGTTTGAAATTTTCCCCATTAGATGCCAGCAAAACTCTGCTGGTGCACACAGTGGTTGGATTTGTGATTTGCAGTAGAGTTTTTCTCTCTCAAATATTACAAGAACACACACAATTTTTTTTTTTTATGACACACATACAAACCACACTCTGACATCCATACCAACACACCCACACAATTATAGCTGCATTATTTATCCAATTGGCTCTATAATATGCAGAAGCAGAAAACAGGAATAAAGCGAGTATTTGCTTTACAGGCCAAACCTGAAAAAATGGCACCATCTGGTAAAAAATAGTAAAAAATTAAATTTTAAAGCCTTGCCAATATAATGAAAGCCTATCAACAAAAATTGCATAATTTTACAGTTAAATGGCACTGCGATTAAAAATAGCAGTTTTAATGGGTTTCAATGGGGACATTTTTGTCCTTAAGGTCCTGAGAGGAACAATTTTTTGTACCTAGTGCAAAACGATTTATTAAAGGAAATGGAAGTGAAATAGTGAAATTCCAATAAAAATATACATCTGTGCCAAAATTTATGCAGTTGGCAATAACACAGGCAAAATGATCAAAAAAACAAAACTGAAAAGGACAAAAATGGTCACACAAGGGTTAATATTTATCAAATCTCAAAATTAATATAAATTTTTCATACTGTACATTATGATGTTGTGATGCCAACATTTACTGGTAGCATTTTAAACAATTGACTTTAGATTTCTGTGTTTTCTTTTTGATTTATTTAGACAAAACAATGTCAATTTTTGAAAGGGAAAGTTCACCCAAAAATAAACGACATCGTTATAAGGACATCGTTAAAATAGTCCATGTGATATCAGCGGTTCAACCTTAATGTTATTAAGCTACGAGAACACTTTTTGTGCACGAAGAAAACAAAAATAACAATTTCTTGTCTTCCGTGTCAGTCTTCGACATGCGTTCACTTCATGACAGTACCACAGCGCATGCGTGTGCATTCCTCTCTTTGTTAACAAGGCGCAACGTATCCGGGTTCTACATCAAAACGCCGGCTCATGCGTCAACAGCACCACACACATGCGTCGTGGTGCTCTTGTAAATGCGTGGCGGAGACTGACACGGAACGGAAGAGAAGAAATTGTTGAATAAAGTCGTTATTTTCGTTTTTCGTAGCTTCATAAAATTACGGTTGAATCACTGATGTCACATGGACTTATTTCATCGATGTCCTTACTAGAGGTCGACTGATTCATCGGTTTTGCCGATTAATCGGCACCGATAGTTGATTGGCGGAACTATCGGTTATCGGCAAAAATCAATGCCGATAGTTTTCCGGGTTGCGTCCGTTGCTGGAGTGGCCGAGAAGGGTCCGCAGCGCATTATACAGTACGAGAGCGGCCTCTAGAGGCGGAAATCACTAACAGCACGTGTTGTTTGTTTTGACACGTGACACTGCGCGCCGCACAGAGCGGGAAACTTCAAACTCAATAGAAAATCCTGCCGCGGAACAGAGCGCCATTCACATAGTTTTCCATTAAATTACATTATATTTGTCCCAAATCATTGTTAATGTACGTAATGACTTCACCCCAGGCTATGAATTATGTATTGTGCTCTTTCTGTGGCTCTAATACAGTCTTTATGCTTCATATAGAGAGCTGTAATACAGATCGCACTTTCTCTTTCCCTTTGCTCAGTTTTTTTTTAAACACCGAACTTCAAACTCATTTATGCCACATTGTTCATTCTTGAAGCAAACTTATGTCCGTTTGGTGATTAAATAAACAGTTTTAGACCGCTGCTGGAATTGAAAGTGACGCGTCTGGTGTGTGACTTCTCAGAGAACGCATCGCTGCGCTTTTGTCCAGTGTGTGACTTGCATCAAAAGATTACATACTTTTAATAAAGATAGAAAAATGCCATTACAAAGGTAAAAACAAAATTCTACTGTAAATCACTTTAAGGAGTCAAATATCACCTCGTAATGGGAAGGCCATTTTCAAATTTCAAATTTTGGTGCTCCTAAATTTTTTAAGTTAAGAGCACAAGCGCTCCTAAAAAGAAAAATAAGCGTAGAGCCCTGTCATCGCTGTGCTTTTGTCCAGTGTGCGACTTGCGTATTTTTTTAAATTTTTGATTAGATAATCATGCAGTGTTCTAAAATAGAAGCAAATAAAGTGTGAGAGTACACATACAATATCAATAACATATGTATGTAATTTTAATGCTATGGCCTTGTGTAGATATTTAAAGATGGCCATCTTTAAGCATGACTGTTGAAATTAAATGGTAATACTTTACAGTAAGAGTCCTTTTGTAATATTAATGAAAGCTGTAAAAGTATTGTTCCTAGTGTGTTCATTTCAACATTTACTATTACTAATAGGCTATATTTTTACATTTTAAAGTTTCTTTTTTTAACATTAGTAAACTATGAAATAACTTTAATGATCAATATAATAATTAATATGTTTATGTTTATTCATTTACAAAGTATGGTTCAGTACTGCTACTGCTTTTTTAAAAATAGTAAAGCTCTGTTTTAGTTTTTGTTTACCATTTTAAAAACTATCGGTTGATTAATCGGTATCGGCCAGTGTGGTCCAACCTAGCTATCGGTATCGGTAAAATCCACTATCGGTCGACCTCTAGTCCTTACTAACTTTCAGCTTGGTAGTTGCGTTGCTGTTTATGCAGGGTCAGAAAGCTCTCAAAATATCTTAATTTGTGCTCTGAAGATGAATAAAGGTCTTACGGGTTTGGAATGAAATGAGAGTGAGTAATTAATGACAGAATTTGAATTTTTTGGGGGGCTATCCCTTTAAATCTGCTGTTTATCAGTTATCAGCCATAACATGAAATGTAAAACAGGATCCAATGAACCCAAACATAATATAAATATAAATTATGAAGTAGGCCTGTCGCGATAATTAAAT